CTGAAACGGGCCCCCGCCTGTCACCCGAAATTTCGGAATCTCGGGGGGGGGACAGCCTGGGCTCCCCGAAAATAGAAGGAAACTCGGGGAGCCCAGGCTGCTCCTTCCAACTTCCCTGGGACACCCGCTTGTTACCCGAACTTCGGGGAAGTTCCAGGGTGCAGCCTGGGCTCCCCGAGATTCGGGTGACAAGCGGGTGTGAAATGAGCACCCGCTTGTTACCCGGATTTCGGGGAGCCCAAGCTGCCCCCCCCTCCCGAATTTTCCCGTATTCGTGGCAACACGCGGGCGTCCATTTCAGGGGGTGAAATGGGGGAAACAGGGAAGGGGGGGGGGGGCGGAAAACGAGCGGGGTCGCCCACACAGGACGGTGGGCGGCAGCTTGTCTCCCGATGTCTGTTCGCTAGCCAAACCACTGGGAGGACAGGCGGGTGTCCAAGTTCACCCCGGGAAGCGAGCACCCCGCCTGTCTCCCGATACGTATTGCCGCAAAGACAGAACCTTGGGAAGCGAGCAAGCACCCACGTACCGTGGCGACGGCGACGGCGACGGCAACGGCGCTGGCGCCGACCGCGCCGGGCGCGGCCTGCTCCCGCGGCGGGTGCGCCCGCGGCGGGGGCGCCCGCGGCGGCCGCCCGCGGCGGCGGCGCCTTGCAGCAGGGAGGCGCGGAGGCGGGCGGCGCCGGCGGCCGCAGGGCGCCGAGCTCCTGGGGGCGGGGCGCTCCGCGGGCGGCGCGGCGGCGGCGGCGGCAGCGGCGGCGGCGGAGGAGGAGGAGGAGGAGGAGGAGGAGGGGGAGGAGGAGGAGGAGGAGGAGGAGGAGGAGGAGGAGGAGGAGGAGGAGGAGGGGGAGGAGGAGCGCCCGCTGATGGCGGGTCAGAATGGCTCACTGGCCTCGCGGCCAGTGGGGCCTCTCAGTCGTAGTTCTGGAAGTTCTGGGAGTAGTTGCAGGCGGAGTTCTGGGAGTTCTTGAGTTGCTCCAGTCGGACATGCGGGTGGTACTGGAACACGGTGGGCCGCGATCCTCGCTGCAGTCACAGCCGCGCACGGCGGCCGGATATGCGCGCCAGGCCGATGGCGAAGGATGTTGTGGAGGTGGTAGAGCCGTGCCAGCCGCGCCGCGGTCTGCGGAAGATCGCTCTCCCTGTCGTCATCCATCTGGTACGCCGCTCCTTCGCCGAGGCCGATTCTGTGCAGCACAGAAGAGTGTGCGAATGATCGCGTCGCCTGGCAAACTGCCCACCAAGCGCCGCGACAGGCGAGGCAATGGGCGATCTCATCGTCGGCGTCCTCGCAGCCGAACCAGCAAGGCAAACGACGACGACCCTACGTGCATCCTGAATGACGTGGGCCAGGCACTGGCCAGCGTGCGGTAGTTTGCCCACGAGACGCCTGGGAAGGCGACCGAGAGGGAAGGCGCCCGAGAGCTGCTGTCGGAACCTCTGCCACCGATCCGCAAGATTAGGAAGTAGTGCGAACTGGGGCCACCCGGTCTTGATCCTTTTCGTGATGGTGACGTGGAACATCTCAGGGTAGAGGACTGCAGCGGCCGCCTCCCAATGAATGCGCTGAGGCCGAGGTTGGCGATCATGGAGGGCAGCTTCTCGAATCTCAGCCCAGGCGGCGCGGCTGGCCATCAGCAGGGCGCGGTCCTTTTCTGGAGCCATATGCTGGGCGTCGCCAGGGTCGCAGCGTCGACGACGATGAGATACTGCACCATGGACTGCGATACTGCCCGACAATCAGGGGACCATTTCCCAGCAACGGCCAACGCGGGCGGGCGACGTTGCCAGTGCACCACGCTGCGGCCCACGCTGAAGGCGACGGGGGCGACAAAGCCGGAGAAGAAGACCAACTACGCATGCTGAAGAGATCAATGAGGCCGAACGATTTCGGAGGCGCCTTCAAAATACCGTGAAGTACATCGATCTCCGCCTTGAGACGATATTCAGGAAGAGGAGAAGCTGAAAAAGATAAGATAGCCCACTGATGGCGGCAGAATTGCAGCAACTGATCACTTCCAGCGTCGTCATGGCGGTGGAATTGAGGATGGCCATTCGGGAACCTGGCTCGAAGCGCGAGGAAACAGAGGAAACCCACCGACAACTGAGAAACACAGGCGGGAACCTTGGCGAATACATGCGGCGCGGCGAGGACGTCTCAAACGACAACCTAGATTGTATATATATATATATATATATGTGATGGCGGTTCCATGGAGAAGCGTAGCGGTAAATGTGCGGAGTCCGCGAAAACCTCGGGACGCCTCAAGGAAACCGCCTGAAACCGCGCCCGAACCCACTCGTTTTCGATGGCGGGCGAAGCGAAAGCTGCATTTTTCACCGCACCCCGGAATCGGTGTACAAAGGCGGGGAAGCCCCCCCCCGTCCCTCCCTGCCAAGGAGCCGCTTGCGAGCCCGCCCGCCAGGCCCACGCTGGTTCTTAGTGTTTGTGAACGGATATCACGCGAGCAAGCGCCCTCAGCATTTGACTTCCACCCATCACCATCGCCGCCGCTACCGTCATCACAGTGATCATATCCGTGCTCTTCATCATCATCATCATCATCATCATCATCATCATCATCATCATCATCATCATCATCATCATCATCATCATCATCATCATCATCATCATTGCATCATCAGCATCATCATCATCATCCTCATCATCATCATCAGCATCATCATCACCAACCTCATCATCATCATCCTCATCATCATCATGATCACAATCATTCACCACCATCATCATAATCATGCTTATGACCGTCGTCATTACCATCGTAATCATTATCCTTATCATCAGCATCGCGATCATCATCGTCATCATCATCGACATAATCAGCCTACTGTAATCATCGCCACCACCATCATCATATACATCATCATCAGCACCATCATTACCAGCATCACCATCATCATCATCATCATCATCATCATCATCATCATCATCATCATGATCGTGACCATTGCCGCTCTCATCGCCGCCGTCACCATCGTTTCTAACATCCTGTCCACCATCGCTGCGATTACTGCAGCCACTCATGCCCAGCAAAAGCACACTTTTGGCGCCGCGGCCCTGCGCGCGGCGACAGGGTGAAGAATGTCGTAAAGCAGCGAACGCGTGCGCGCGACTAGGAACGCCCAGGCCCTCGAAGACTGCCGAGGGTCCCGCAGCGGCCGGCTGCAATGAGCCATCCGGGCGTGGATGACAGGGGGGGCCGTGGAAGAAGGAGGCTACGGTGCGGTGGATGACAGGGGGGGCGGTGGAAGGACGAGGCTACGGTGGACGGTGAGGGAGGAGGGAGGAGGGAGGAGGGAGGAGGGAGGAGGGAGGAGGGAGGAGGGAGGAGGGAGGAGGAGGAGGAGGAGGAGGAGGAGGAGGAGGAGGAGGAGGAGGAGGAGGAGAGGATAGCCAAGACCGACCTGGAGGCCCAAAGGGCAGGGGGGCCACGAGCCTACGGTACGTGGGTGCCGAGGCCAGCCAGAGCCAGGAGAAAAGCACCAAGATTAGCTCGGGCGTGTCCTCCTACAGTGCTCGCAGAGTAACTACTCGCAAATGGCTTGGTTCCGCCGCGGGGGATCTAGGATACATTACACATGTTACACAGGAGGAAGGCATGATGCTTTCGGACGTTTGCGAGCAGGCACGTTGCAGGTTGTGGAACGCGCTCGGTGACCAGGGCGAGCCCGTCGACGCGCCGGACAAACGGCGGCGGCCGAGAGGACGGGCCAGACACGCAGGGCCGGGCGCCCTCCCGCGGGGAGGCCGAAGGGAAGGCTGGCGGCCAGAGGGGCAGCTTCCGAGGGGCGGAAACAAAGGAGGCAGGGGGGGCTTCGGCAGGGGAAGCCCACGCACCCCCCCCCCTTCGGATAGAAGGGGCGGGCGGGGATAGCTTCCGAATGCAAGGGGGGGGCCGCAGGGAGGGCTGGCGGAGGCCAGCCAGGGGCTGCAGAAGGCGAGGGGGGGCGCAGGCCCTCGGCGGGATGCTGGGGGGGGGGGCCTGGAGGGAAGGGGCGCCAGGGTTAGGTCGGGCCTGCCCCCCTACAGGGTGATTTGGGACGAAAAATAACAAATACTTCAAACATATTCCCCAAATGCCTGAAAATAGTCAAAAAAATGTCCCCTGACTATTTTTTTACTATTTTTGAATATTTCCCCCTGTAGAGGGACAGGCCCGACTTAACGCCATGGGGCGGCACAGGCGGAGCGAGGCCCGGGGAGGCAGGCGCGAGCGTGCGCACGGCTGCCCGCAGCGCGGCAGACGGGCCGGTGCAGGAGACATCGGCCCGGAACCAGGGGGAGCGAAGTTGGTTCCTCATCCACGCGAAGAGGAGGAGGAGGAGGAGGAGGAGGAGGAGGAGGAGGAGGAGGAGGAGGAGGAGGGGAGGAGGAGGAGGAGGAGCGTCCACGGCTCGACGTCTCCGCGGTCAGGCTGCCGGCTGCCAAGGGCACGCACCCACGTGCAGCCTCGGAGCCTGCAGGGAGAGCGAAACGCACCCGCACCTCGCAAGGGGGGGTGAGGCCCGGCCCGTGCACCGAATCCTCCACGCTCGCGCAGCCAGCAGAAGCCCACAGACGGCCAAAAATCGAGAGCGCAGCTCTCTCCTGTCTGAGGGGGCGCCGCCAAAAGCGACGGAGGTGTGCTGCCACTGTCCCAGACTGCACCGGGGACATTTTGAGGCCAGCCTGCGTTCGTCCATGGGCCGTCTGCACGCGACCCTGGGCCTTGACAAAGAGGAGCGCCACTGCCCACAGGAGAGCCCTCAAATCCTTAACAGAAGCAGCATTCTGCTCAGGAGGCCACAGCCATCGCCGCAGGCTCGGCATTCGATTGGCACCGAGTTCGATATTGCACGAAGGGCGAAAACTGCATTGGATACTCCAGTGGACTTGACGAGGAGGAGGAGGAGGAGGCGGAGGAGGAGGAGAAGGCCGAGTCCGCCCGTCAACCGCGCCATCCATCCACCCAAACGCCCAATCTCCCCACACCCAGGGC